ATATATATATATATATATATTATATATCTTAAGAATACCACAATAAGTTTCAACCTCAATACCATAATAGGCAAAGCCTAATGAATTTTATTATCAAAACTCGGTATACTATAAAACAGACATGTTTCGGCAATTCCTTCGCCATCTTCAGTGAAACGATTGCTAACATGCAATCTACTATTTAAAGGGAGTGAACAATTGTGAAGCATTGTATTTTAAATAAATGGGAATTGAAACATAGCTATTTGAACAGACATCATGACATTGCATTTTTAGAGAATCGATATGACTGTAAAGAAGAAAGAATGGCATGAATAAAGATGATAACGTAAGGATGAACATTAGAATGACAAAGTTAAATTAACATGTAAAAGTTGGTTGTTGAGAGAGGGCGTGTCCCATTTTATATGCAACGCCTCCTTGATTTTTCTTTGGCTGGCTGTTGAAGCGGAACACAATACACGGAAGCAATCTTCGTTGCATGAGCTTTTACATTGGGATGAGCTATTAAGATGTTTAAAAATGTGCGAGTTCCTGTCCGTGGTCATGTGTTCGTTAACGCACGTTGCAAGTTTCGGCCAGTTTCGCCTATATAACAGGCATTACAGCCTGCCCATGTGAATTTATACACAACGTTGAGAACGTACACCACTAGGGACAGGATCTTTCACAGAAAACATATTTCTAATTTTTAATGAAGAAAAACCAATTTGATATTTAAATCATTACAAAACTGTTTCGTTAAAGCATTATGTGAAATAACTTTAGAAAATTTACAAGTGTAAGGCAACTTAAAATAACGGATATTCGATTTTTCGTTCGTTTGTTTGTTATCGGAGTGAATATAGACAAGATATCTAGAAATAATTTTGTCAATTAAATACACTGGAAATATATTTTTTCTAAGAAAAATAATTAAAGCCTTGAGGTCACTATGAAAACCTATCCAATTATTGTTGATCTTATAAAGGTCTGTCGACTAAAGTACGAATCAATGAACTTTTGTATGGAAAAGAGCTGAATTATGATAATTTTGTATGGAAAAAATTATTTTTCCCATTTATGACCACTGCTCAAGCCGATCTATACATAATTGAGAACTATTTGTAGTTCATGTAAACAAGGTTTTGGGACACACATTGTAGGAAACCAGTGAATTGTCAGTTTAATAGAAATTAGTGTTCTTGCATCCAATTGAAATATATTTACTGGTAAGTGCAGCTACATGCAGATAGCTGCACTGATGAGGCCTGGAAGGCCGAAACGGATCTGTCTGCAGATATTGGGATTCCTTCCAGTGGATACTTAGCTTATTTTGTCATTCTGATCGGATTTTCTCTACTGTTCCGTTTTAATTTTATATATATATATATATATATATATATATATAATAGTAATATTAATAATAAGGAACTTGTAATTTCACTCTACAGGCTGTTTCATGCACTAGGCATCTTCAGGAGTGGAGGGAATTTCAAATTTGACGTGTATATGTAGAGTTGGGCCGGTGTAGATGCAAATTAGGTATTATGTGTTTTTGAGTAGGAATTTGGCACGGTGTCTGCATTTTGAAAGGAGTTCGTGCCTTTTGTTGAAAGTAGATTGTTTGTCTGCATAAACTATATGAAACTTTTCTGCGTTGTATAGATTGCATCGCTTTGTTTTGGGTGAGTAGGATGAAGCTCTATCAATAATGGACCATTTGATATTGTATTGTGTTTTGCTGTCTTTTAGTTTCCATATGAACTTTGAAAGTTCTGTGCTGTTTCTGTGTTTTGGTGCATTGAATGTGTGCTTATGATTTGTATATCGGATTTTAAATGCGGTATCTGTGAGCCCGATGTAATGCTTCGATTCTTCTTTTGTTGTGATTGTAGCTTGTAGCTTTGTAAATAATTGAGGAGGTGAGGCAGTTTCCCGAGAGTGGGCAATCTTCTTTAATCCGACAGTTGCATAGTTTGGTCGGTGCTTGTTGTTTGGTGTGGAGAAGGTGGTTGTTGTGGGCTTTGATGGTGCTGCCCATGTTTCTAACTTTTACGTTGTTCTTGTTGAACAATTTGTGCAAGGTGCTGTCTTTGTGGAAGTGCTTTTTGACCAGGTTAAGGAAAGTTCTGCCGATGTTTGTTTTGACGTTTTTGCTGAAAGGTGGGTTGTACCGTATGATGTTCCTTTTTCTTCTGGCTTTTGAGTTGTTTGTAGGTGGTTTTTCGTATTTCATCTTGTGTTGAAATCCGCTGTCCCTTAGTGCTTTTTGGTAGTCGGGGGCGGCCTTTTGAAAAGTTGCTTCTGAATCGGAGTTGCTTGATATTCTTTTATTGATTGAAGATGGGATTTGCTTTAAGATGGATGGAGGGTGGTTTGATCTTTTGTCCACGTATAGCAATTTGTTGTCTGGTTTGGTGAATGGAGCATAGGATCCGTTAGTCAGGTTGAGTGTGACATCAAGGAAGTTTGTGATCTTTATGTTTGCTTGTATAGTGATGCGGAGGTCAAAGGAGTGAAAGATGGATGTGATTTCCTTCTTCATCTTGTCACATAGTCTCGGAGATGTGCTGCTCATGATGGCGAGGCCAAATTATACCATACCTTCAATAATGTAAACTCTACAATATTTAT